GGATGCATTTTCCATACCTTCCAAAGTGGTCTTCTTCTGGAGCAACCTTCCTAATCCTCTGCCTCCACTGATGCTGATCCTTTGTCTCCCCCCCAACTCCAGGCCCATCCACATCCAGGAAGGGGAGGAGATGGGAAAAGCTGAGAAAGCTTTGTGAACCAGCTGTGCTTTTTCTCTTCTAAAAAGGTATCAATCTCAGGTGAATTTCAAGTCTGCAAGATCACCTGGTACTTTTCTGAGGCTTACCTGCAGAGCTTTGACAACAGAGGGATAGGTTTCAAAAATAGGAGTCTCAATTCAGTGAGTATGAGGTTTGAAGTTCAAACAAATCCTGAGACTTCGAATGGAGCTGGTCCTTTGACCATATCGTGAACTTTATTTCTATAAAAGTTCATGGAATATTATACTGTTAGGTTTCCTGTGAATGGGCAAATTGTTAAAGACCTACAAGAAACCATGATTATAGATAGAAGCCCAGGATGTTCTGCTGAAGCTTCTTAAGATTGAAGGTAGGGCCGGGCGCTGGTGGCTCACGCCTGTAATCCTAGCTACTCAGGAGGCTGAGATCTGAGGATCGCGGTTCAAAGCCAGCCCGGGCAGGAGAGACCGTGAGACTCCTATCTCCAATAAACCACCAGAAAACCGGAAGTGGTGCTGTAGCTCAAGTGGTAGAGCGCTCGCCTTGAGCTGAAGAGCTGAGGGACAGCGCCCAGGCCTAGAGTTCAAGCCCCACAACCGACAAAAAAAAAAAAAAAGATTGAAGGTAGGGAGAAAAAAATGTGTGGGGAATACTGCTTCTCTTTTCCACAGAGTTAAGGTGTCTCTATAGGGCTTCAGAGTGTCTACTTGTGCACTATCTTTGGTTTTCAGCCCTTAAGACCAGGGAACAAGACAGAGGCTGTGTGTCCCAGGACCCAGGAAGCAACAGGTTTGGGACACTGCTAACTTCACCTGAAAACCACAACCAGCAAATTATTAGAGATGTATCTTACTGCCAGGGTTCCTTAATTATATTTCTCAGAAGTTAAAAATATCAAAATGATTTTTTGTTCATACTTAGGGATCATGTACCTTTTTGCTTTTATTGATCAATGAGCATCCAGATATTCCAGGGAGAACAAGACAATAGGAAAAGCAAAAATGTGAATCTTCCAGGTGCTTTTATTTAGCCAGTCATTGAAAGGATTTGCAAATTGTATAACCTTCTACTCTTCTACTTCATGAAATAAAATAAATCAAAAAGGAAAGATGATATCTGCACCCAGTGTTGACTGCACCACCATCTTTAATAGACAGCAGATGCATTGAACATATGATGTTGGATAGAATAATGTAATGTGGTAGATATGAATGCATAAAATAATATCCAACATAATAAAATTGTGTCACTTGTAAACTCATGTAGAAGCCTGGAGAGCATTGTATTGACTGAAACAAGCTAGGTACAGAAACCTTATATCATATTATTTTTACTCTGATGTAGAACATAAGCATCAACCCTGCAGGCATGGTGGCACACATCTTTAATCCCAGCTAATGGATGTACAAGGATCTGGTCTTTGCCAGGTTATGAACAACTCCAAAACTAAGTCTGTAGAAAAATTCAAATAAAACTAAAGTAGTATGAAGCATAATTCAAGTGGATACCCTGAATTCAATCCCATGTTTCCTAAATGGATAAATAAAGGGATAAAAATACACAGGAAAACAAAGAACCAAACAAAATGTTTATCTTTGAGAAGGGGAGATTCGAGTATTTGATCCTGGGAAAGAGAGGTTGGTTGTTACATGCAAAAACACCATTATAAGAGTATATTCTCATGTATTATATAGGGTGATTTCAGTTAACAAGAAAGGACTAGGTGATTCAAAAGGGTTAGAAGAAAAGATTTCAGTTGTTCCCAACAGGAAAGGTTAATTGATGTGATTGATATGATCATTTCCCTGATTGGACATTAAGCATTATATATATATATATATATACATAATACTCATATCTAACCAATATTTTATATATACACATATGTATAATTACATATCAATTAAAAACAAAATTGTTGCTGACATGTACTATGTGCATAGGTTGCATTTCTGTGTGGGTTAACCATGTATAGAAATTCTCTTCTGATTCCTCCCTCATCGATCCACTGTGATGCTACATGTGACATTGAAACATTAGGAGTCACGTGAATTAAAGCATGCAGGAAATATAAGCTGCATGCAGATCTATACAATGCAGTTAGACACTTGGGCATTGGCCCTGGGTCCCCACTTCTGGTGTGGAGGAAAGACTGTTCCAATAAATTCATTTCTATTTTATTGACTTCTAAACAATCAAATGTAGAGGTCCCTTTGTGCCCTAATTATGTTATTCTAAAATATGCTTACATATGTTCAATATAAGGACACTTGAAAGAATGAAATAATATTGTAATATAATCCTCAGTATTGTGAATTTACATTGTTTTATCTTTGAAATTACTGGTCATCAGTCTAGCTGACATTAGATGTTGTGCCTTTCACAGGTGGTGTCATCCTTTTCTACTTTGTCCTAAAAACTGGGCTTTGCAGGAAACTTCTAATATGCCCCAGCCACATAGGTGAAAATCTAGATATGTTCCTTATCTTGCATAGAGATAGTAATTAATTATATTCTAGAATGTTCAGCATTTTAAAATTACTTATATATTATTGTTGGGAAAAATATACCTGTTGCAATTATCAACAACTATAGAGATATTTCAATGCACCATTCCTTAGTTAAACCTTGAAAATTTCCATGATTTAAGGAATGTCTCCACTTTATTTAAATAGGTGGCTCCTATATTCTGTATTTTCTAGATTCAAAAGTAAGTTCCACTGCACATTTTCAAGGTAAAATTGTCTGTAGAAATGCTTTCAGATACTGAAACTTTTGAAGTTTCAGTCTTGCTATCCAAGACTATCACTGTGAAAGACCTGTATGTCCATAGTGTGTATTAGTTAAGGATGGGATCTTTTCTGTCAAACCAAAGTGCCTCCATCTTGCAGTCACCATTGTATATTGATATTTCCCATTATTAATATTCCTGGATATTTTGTGTTTTGACTTCAATTTTTATTGTCATCTTTGGATGACCAGTCATGTTAGGAATATGAATCTTGTGCCAAAGGAGTTAAAGAATAAACTGTAACCACCAGGTGTGCTATTTGTGACCTGCCAGCATATTAGAAATATAAATGTTTGTCAGTGGAGTTAAAAGAATAAACTGTAACTACCAGATGTGATGATGCTGGTGACCAGCCTGAGGGATGAGTCTTTGTCAATGATGCTAATAAGAATGAGATGCCCTTGAATGCCTCTCCACAGACTTAATCTCCTTCAATTGTAACTGTCAGCCACCCCCTACCCCATGCTCCCATCCAGCCATGATGAGAAAAGTACAAGTTGTTGATAAGAATTAAAGAATAGCCCCCCCAATTTCTAACTTCGTATTTCCCCATCACATTGGTAAACGTGTACTTAGCATGGGAACCTAACTCCTTGGGAAAATTTAGGGGATTTGTCCTCTCCGATGTGTCTGCCTCACTCTAGGAAGCATAATGGCATCATTGCCTTGATGTAATCTAGTATATCTTTCATAGATAGATAGATACATAGATAGATAGATAGATAGATATACATATAGTATATCTATATATACATATAGTATATCTTTATATATAGTATATATACTATATATACATATAGTATATCTTTCATATATATATATATATATATATATATATATACTCTTTTCTGACACTGGATGACTAGTGTATGTTTCCAACATGTGGGAGATGTTTCTGGATACTCACTGTATAGGAGAAGGAAGGGAATCCTGCTACCTACTTCAGCAGCCCTGGGGTGATCTAGCATCAGAGACTTCCTGGATCAGCAAATAAGTCCAGACTCCTGGAGACCTTACCAATGGTAAAACATCTCTAGAGACATATATTGTGAAGACTGCAAAAGTCTATGAATAGTCCAGTGCAAATAACATCACTGGGGTGGTAAGGGTTTTGGAGGTGGTATGGTGTATGAATGAGACTGATAAGGTGGCACAGGAAAATGCTTATCCTTGATTTGCAAGACCGTGTCATCCTCTTGTGGCTGAAAGCAGCGTTGCATCCTACTTGAATCTAACTAAGGCCTAATGGCCTGCCAAATTTTCTAGGAGGTGTTTAAACAACTAAGATACGTGTACAGATGGGCTCTGTGAGAGAGAGTTGAACAAATCTCCCCAGAAAAGAGGAAGTCTCTATTTAAAAAAGAGACAGAGGAAACTTTTCATTCCCTAGTTGCTAAGTTAAAATCAAAATGAGAAATAAGGAAAAATGGGAGAAAACCAGCAGGCTAGGGGTCAAGGTAGAATACCATTGAAAGGTCTCATAGGCTGACAATACCCAAACAGCCAATAAAGAAAAGCAATTGATTGAATATTGTTGCTTTATTGTGACACAAGGACTACTTCTGGAGTCAGTTCTATTTGGGCAAAATTTGGATCAGAGGAAGATTAGGTTTACTAGTTACTGAGGAGTGAAGTTGTGGAGGTGAGAGGGAAGGGATGGGAGGGGAAAACAAAGGAGGAGGCAACAATGTTTGATAAGAAATGTACTCATTACCTTACTCATGTAACTGTAACCCCTCTGTACAGTATTTTCACAATAAAAAACTTATTTAAAAAGAATTTGAAAATAATAATAATAATAATGTCACTCGGGAAGAAATAGATTATGCCCTTTGTTGCAGGCAGAGTTTAGGCAGAGTTTGTAGTTCTACTTCCCCCTTGACAAGATAGAGGAAAAACCAAGAGACAAAGACCTTTGAGTTGAACCCATTTTCTCTCCTTCCTCCTTCTGTAACTCTGTCATTTCCCCTGCATCTTAGGAGCCAGACTTGGTTTTTCCATCAACCCTTCTCCTGCTTCCCCTATAACTCTATAGCTAACCATAAATCTAACTCTAAATTAAACTCTAACTCTAAATTAAACTTCACATGAGCACTATTGTAAAAACTGACATCAAGCTTTGAAAAATCAATATCAGTAGCATCATCACCATCTTCATCTTTATCTTCATCATCATCAGTATCTTGTAGTGTACAAGGCGGTCTCAATTCCCTGACAAGTGATGAATGCTGTACAAAGATTCTTGGTCAGGCAGCCATACCGACTGCAGAGGCAGTGGGTTGGATTTCCGTGACCACAATTATACAAGTAACCTGCAACCTCAAGGGCCAGCCACGAGGCACCCGGAGTAATCAAGTTCTCAGGGGTGGCACCCTTCATCCTGGAGGAGAGCATGAAGAAAGCAAGCTGTCCCTGCTCTGCAGACAGGAATGCCTTGAGTCAGGTACCCTGGCCTCAGCAACCTCACCATGGTTATTTTGGTGACGCTTGTGTCACAAACAGTCAGCAGACCCCAGGAGTTTGGGACACCGAGTGCTGTGTGTGGACTCAAGCGTTGAAGAGGTGGCACATCGTGGCCTCTCTGTGCCTCCCAGGGGAGCCCAGAGTGCATAGCAGGGCACACCACGGGGAGGGTTTAGAGAGGGGGACCCTGAGGGTTGAGCCAGGGCGCAGGTGCCTTATGATAGTTGCTCTAGCAACACTGATAAATCAGCAGCCCCCAGTTTCAAGGAAGCCTGGCTGTCACCATTGTGCCCAGCACGAGTTAACAAGTGGTATCCTCTCCTTGACTTACGGATGAATATGGAGAAGCATAAGAGCAAACCAAGGTTTCAGACAGAGAGATACCGGTGAGGGGGTGGGGCAATTCTCTGGCAGCTGTGGCCTCAATACACTTGCTTTCTTTTTTTCTTTTCCTTTTTGTCTTTTTTAAATGATTATTATAAAAATACAGTACAGAGGAGTTACAATTACATGGGCAAGATAATAGTACATTTCTTATCAAGCATTGTTGCTTCCTCTTTTGTTTCCCCTTCCTATCCCTTCCCATATCCTGCCCCCCCCACACTCCCCCACCCCTACAGCCTCTAGGGAACCTCTGCACTGGCACTGCAGACCTCAAATTGTTTCTTCTATCTAGATGAAGAATGACAATGGGAGTTTGGTGGGTATTGCATTGTGTTTGTGGATAGCCTTTGGCAGAATGGCCATTCTCATCATATTAATTCTTCCAGGAACATGAGAGGAACATGGTGTCTTATTTCTTTCTTCAGACTTTTATACTTTTTATTCCATACCTCTGCTAGGTCTACTCCTTAACTAATTGAGGCTTTTGCAAATTATTTTTGTGGGTTAATTTTGAATCCTGCTACTTTACTGTTATTAATCAGCTTTTAAAACTGGGGGATTCTCTAATGTGCTTTAGATATAGGATCATGTCATCTGCAAAGACTGATTCTTTGTTTTCTTCTTTTCTTATTTGAATATTTTTTATGTCTTTTTCTTGCTTTATTGCTGTGACTCTAAACATAACATTAAACACAAACACAAAAGCATACACCAAGTCCTAAAAATCTACATATAACTACCTGTAATTATAACTTTAATACTACCTCTAACATATCCACAAACTTGACCATGAGCCTAACTTACCCTTATTCTATAACTAAACAAATTCTATTGTACCCTAACACTCTCAATGACCCTAATCCTCTCCCTTCCACTACCTCTACTCAAAACTAAATTTAATGCTAACTTTAAAATGAATACCAATCCTAATCCTATTGCTTATATTAAATATACCCTGAACTCTGCTCCATACCTCTCCAAATCCTAACTTTAGAAATCTCTAACTTAAAGTATAAAAAGATGCTTAACTCTAAATTCATCCCTTTCTATAACTGCAACTCTATTCCTGCAATTAATGCTAGGCCTAACCATAACAAATAAGTTATAAATCTAACACTTAAGATAAACATTCTACAGAACATGCTTTACTGCAAGTAATTTTTTCTGATTAAAATGACAATAATAAGATTTCACTATCTTAAAAAAAATCCCTCCAGAGCCTGGTGCCAGTGGCTCACGCCTGTAATCCTAGCTACTCAGGAGGCTGAGATCTTAGGATCATGGTTCAAAGCCAGCCTGGGCAGGAAAGTCCGTGAAACTCTTATCTCTAATAAACCACCAGAAAACCAGAAGTGGCGCTGTAGCTCCAGTGGTAGAGTGCTTGCCTTGAGCTGAAGAGCTGAGGGACAGTGCTCAGGCCCAGAGTTCAAGCCCCACAACCGACAAAAAAAAAAAAAATCCCTCCAGAAACTCATGGTAACAGGGTTTCAAGACTTGGTACAGAACTACAACCATCAATAAGAACCTCTGTTTAAGCTGCTTTTCTGCTTCACAAACATTTGGGGGCTGGCCATTTCTTTTCCCTTTACTATCACATGGTAGCTACAATTCCTATTGCCAACTTCACAAAACAATATTCCCCACCCAAAAAGAGGAGTGAATTTGGCACAGAAAGACAGGTCTCCCTCCTATGTGGAGTCAAAGTAACCACAGAAGTTGAGAGTAGAAGTGTGGTGAGGAGTCCAGGGAGACTTGGGTGAAGGGATTGATGGGAAAAGATGATGGATAGATACTATTTACATCTCCATGGGACAAGATGCACTGGTGGGCTGTTACCAAGAGGGTGACTATAAATAGCAATAATGTACTGTACATTAGAAAAACCTAGAAGAAAAGGTTTGAAAGTGTTCAGGATAAAGAAATGAAAAATGTGTTTAGACTTTGCATAATCTATATATCTACTGGGATTTCCTCAGTTATCTTGTTAGTATGCAGAAATCTATGTATCAGTAAAAAATAAATGTACTTTTTGTATAAAAAAGATAAACATCCTCCATAATAATTTTTATGTACCTACCATTAAACCTAACCCTAATCAAAAATCCCATCTTTAACCATATCATAATTCTAAAATTAACCCTAAATCTAGTTTCAGCCCTAACTTTCAACCACAACCCACATCGTGAATCTACCTCTGGCCCTAGCCATGTTGCCCCTAAAACTAGCTTTTAATCTAACACTAACACTACCTCAAAATGAAAAATAAACCCACAAATACTTTTTTCCTACTTTCCTTCTTTATTTTTATTTTTTAATTTTTTTGCGGCTCAAACTCAGGGTCTGGGCTCTATCTCTGTGCTCAAGGTTAGTATTCTACCACTTGAGCCACAGCATTACTTTTGGCTTTTTCTGAGTAGCTTATTAAATATAATAGTCTCAAGGACTTTCCTGCCTTGGCTGGCTTTGTACCATGATCCTCAGATCTCAGCCTCCTGAGTAGCATGAGCCACTGGTGTCTGGTCTACAAATACTCTTTATATTTCATTTTATTTCACCTTCACATTTACTAACAAAACGAAGTTATGAAAGTACACAAAATACAATTTAAGATGGTATTCTTGATTTGCTTCAAATGAGAGCTCCTTGAGATATAAAGTATTCAGCACGGAGTCAAGCACTTCACTAATGCATCATCAATTGCAACCAGGGAAGAATGAGGCCTGACAGAAAAATTCAAGGAGCCAGTGGGGTATGTGCAGATAACAGAACTCAGCGACATACAAAAACTCAAAAGGTCCATTTGAAGGTCAAGAAGTAGAACAACCTGGCCCAGAGATCTTTGTGTATTGAGGAAACGGGGGAAGTGGTAAAGACACTGTAAATGACCATTCCCCTTCACATCTAAGAAGAGGAATAGAATTCCTACAGACTCCCACAGCCTAGTCCAAAGGGTCATCCACACTGAGCTCCTTGAAATGTTTCCCAGAACTGAAGTCCTGTGATCTCACAGCAGCAATATAGTAGGATCCATCTGAATTTTTTTTTAAAAATGTGGCTGCATGTTAATTTCTAAAAATTCTTACATGGTCAAACAGCACATATACAGACCCCCTCTTCATTTTAAAGGAAATCCTCATTGAAAATAATAGCATACTTTAATATCAATTTTTGGATTTATATAACACTAGAGAAACACTTGCCTGCTGCAGCTGTGGTTGGAAAACACAAATAAAGGAACTGAACATCTGCAGAAAAACCCACTCATCCACTGTGGGAGATAGGGCTGCTACAATTCTGAGATTTAAAGCTGATTTCACCTGTTGGCTCTTCTTAAGATCTGACTACCTGGAGACTTGTGCTGTGCCCACAGCTCCAAAGCAATGGAATATATTTTAGTCTTTCTCCAGGGTAGAGAGATACACCTAAATAAATGAGACCCTGTTGCCAGAAATTTAAAGCTATTTTAGTTAACAAAGCCTTAGTTATTAGAAGTATCATCACTTCTAGGCCAGCTTGAGCTACATGGCTAGACCTTGTTTAAGGAAAGGATGGAGAATTAGAGTGGAAACAGCTTATACACTGAAGTAATTCATAAAACCTACTTTCACATCATTGTAGATTCACATGAACATCTTTCTTAATTTCAATAATACCATCAGAAAATCAATACTGATAATTTGGTTCACTTATATAGATTTTTCCTGTTTTTTGATAATGTAATCACTCATACAAGAGCTGCATTGTTAAAATAACAATTCTTAGATGCTTTTTTAAAATACCTCAAGAATAACAAGATAATAAAAATACTGCAAATGAATGTGTTTATTGGAAAAAGAACTGAATAGAGATGCTCAAAATCCCACCAATGAAACTAAAGAAATCCTAATTTCTTTGATCTGGACATTTAAAATTCCATCCAGGGGGCTGGAGAGCTGGCTCAGCTGCATCCATGTGGCCCTGGGTTCAATTCCTCAGCACCACACAAACAGAAAAAGCCTAAAGTGGTACTGTGGCTCAAGTGGTAGAGCTGAAGAGCTGAGGGACAGCACCCAGGCCCAGAATTCTAGCCCCATGACCAACCAAAAACAAACAAACAAACAACAACTCCATCCATTCATAGCTGGTCACTGGTGGCTCACAGCTGTTGTTCTAGCTATTCAGGAGGCTGAGATCTGGGGACAGTAGATCAAAGCCAGCCCAGGCAAAGATATTTATATTCTTATCTCCAATAAACTGCCAAACATCTAAAAGCAGAGCTGTTGTTCCAGTATGAGAAAACTAGCCTTGAGGGAAATAAGCACATGGACAGCTCTCATGCTCTGAGTTTAAGCCCCAGGACTCTCTCTCTCTCTCTCTCTCTCTCTCTCTCTCTCTCTCTCTCATACACACACACAACCACTTCTAGCTTTATTGTTGCTTAATTGGAGATGAGTATTATAGATTTTTCTATAATCCTCAGATCTCAGCTTCCTGAGCATCTAGAAATAAGTAGATGAGCCATCAGGGTCCAGAATATTTTCCAGTCTTGATTG